TTCAAAGCAGGATTTTTATAAGCATGCTTATTCCAAACATGACAGAGTAAAATAAGCCTTTTAAGAAAAGTACCTGCTGGTAGGCTTCCTGTGTTCTTCTACCATTAACGCCAATGGTGAATCACATGCAAAGTCAGAGCCTGTGTTATACATTTTGCTCAACAGTAAAGAGCAGAATTTGCAGTGAGAGTTTGGGACTTCCCCTGGGAACCCAGTCTCACTAAGCCAGAAGGACACATTTCATAAAACATTCAGGGTCTCTTACCCAATCAAAGGTGGCCACAGATCTTCCAACAAAGTCAGCATCAGAAGGACTCACTTGAGGTATACCATCTTTATTGCCAAATAGTTGAAATAAAAAAGAAATCAAGACCCAGAGGCACATGCCAATTCATAAATATAGAATTAGCTATTTTTACTACTGAGAAAATACATGCAGGCATAGCCCATAAGTGACTACAGAACTATAATGAATTTTCTCCTCTATTTATATGGAATTAAAACTTTAGTTCTTAAACATCATCCTACTTATTTTAGTAAATACTCAACAGATAGTTCATTTGCACAGGTAGCTACATTGTGCTTGCTCTGATGTCCTGTTTTTATAATTCTTTTTTTTTAACGTTTTATTTATTCATGAGAGGAGAGGAAGAGAGACAGGCAGAGGGAGAAGCAGGCTCCATGCAGAAGCCTGACATGGGACTCGATTCCGGGACTCCAGGATCACACCCTGGGCCGAAGGCAGGCGCTAAACCGCTGAGCCACCCAGGGATCCCCTGTTCTTATAATTCTTTATCAGGACCTCCTTTGTATTGTATCCAGCACACAGGAGGCTGCACATTTTTCAATGTGCCTCAATACGGTTAGACTAAGTGCAGTCTCCTAAAGCCCTCCTAGGCTGTGGAAGTTCCATCTGCAGTTTGGAAGCACCTGTCATTTATCTGCATGGGCTTTTAATGATTCTGGGCCTTGGTAGCTGGGAGGTACTTCCAAGACAACAGCAACCATTCCAGGGATTCCATGGTTAGCATTCATTTCTTTGGTCTGATCAGTAGAAGATTGGCTGGGAAAGTTTCAGAGACTCAGAGACCCACTCTACACAGACACACTTGCCTGCCTCTCCCTGCCCCCCACATGAGCTCCAAGTCTAGGTCAAGCATGAGAGCCAATTGCTAATTGCATAAACTTGATTTCACATTAGTGTGGGGTGTTACTATACCTGGATATGGAATTACTATGTTTTAGAGAAAGCACGCCTTCAACTTTATAAAGTACTGCCAAATTGTTCTCCTGAATAGTTATACCAATTTACACTCCCACCTGTAATGTATGAGTTCCTACTTTCACACATCCTTGGCAACATCTGGTGTTTGCAGACTTTATTTTTTCCAATCTGATGGGTGTGAAGTGGTGTCTCATTTTTGGCTTTAATTTGCATGTCTTCACTATTGAGCATCTTTTCATATGTTCGTTGGTCATTTGGGTTTCCTCTTCACTGTTCATATCTTTTGCCTGAAAAAAATGGGTACCCTTCTCAATGTGTAGGAATACTTTATATACTCTGAGTACTAGCCTTTTCTTTGGTTCTATATGTTGCAAATACCTTGTCCCAGTCTGTGGCATTTTTGTTCATTCTTTTCCATGCAGAAGCTTTATTACTAAAATCTATCAGCCTTTTCCTTGATAGCACATGATTGTGTGTCTTCTTTAAGAACTGTTTCCCCATCAGGGCTCCTCAGTTACTTAAGCCTCTGACTCTTGGTTTTGGCTCAGGTCATAATCTCAGGGTCATGAGATCGAGTCCCACGCCGGGCTCTGTGCTCAGCAGGGATTCTGCTTAAGATCTCTTCCTCTCCCTCTGCCCTCCCCCAAATTCACACATATGCATGAGCTCGCTCACTGTCTCTCAAATAAATCTTTTTTAAAAAAGTATTTCCCCATCCTAATGTGAATGTGTCCTATGATTTCTCTTAAAAGTTTTACAGTATTTTTCATATTTAAATCTTTGACCTATAATTCACTTTTGTGTGTGTTAGGAGATAAAAATACAACATTTATATATGTTTTCCATATAAATAACCAGTTGCCCTAGGACTGTGTTAAATGGTCCATCTTCATTAATTTCTAATGTCATTTATACACATGTATTACTTTCAGCTCACTCTTCTGTTATTTATTTCATTTTTTAATCTTTGCCTATACCAGTATAACCTTGAGTGGATTTCTGCAGTTGTATACTATGTATTGACAGCTACCAGGAAAGTTCCTCCTCTTCTGTTCAGTATTGCTTAACCATTCTTGGTCTTTTGTTTTCCCACAGTAATATTAGGATGAGCCTCTCAGTTTCTCTACAAATCCCTTTGAGGGCTTTTATTGGAATTGGGGTGGACTTACAGATTAATGTGAGAAGTGCTATTTTAATAGTCTCACCATCCATGAAAATGTCTTCACTTTTGCCCTTCAGTACAGGCTTTCCATTTTGGTTTGTTCCGTAAAGCTCTTGTCTGTCTTTTCCTCTTAGATTTTAGTTTTTGTTACTTTCACAAGTGGGAATTTTCAAGATTTATTTATTTTAGAGAGAGAAAGTGAGCAACGGCGGGAGGGGCAAAGGGAAAGAGAGAATCCTGAAGCAGCCTCCTTCCTGCGCGCAGAGCCCAACACGGGGCTCGGTCCCAGGACCCTGAGATCATGACCTGAGCTGAAATCAAGAATCAGCTGCTTAACCGACTGAACCACCCAGGTGCCCCCTACAAATGGGATTTTTTAATTAAAAATTTAAATTGCCTTGCAAGTGTAAAGCAATACAAATTTTTGACCTAGAGCCTTGTATCTTCAATGTAATAACAAATTGTCCAAGAATGTTGTCTCTATGATAGTTTCCGGTTGTCTGTGGAAATTCGTTCCATGGCCCAGTATATAACCAGTTTCATAAATCTTCCACATATTTTTGAAGTGATTTTCTCATTTTGTGCAGAGCTTTGAATGTGCCCATTAGATCAAGCGTGTAATTGATTGTTCCAGCTGTCTATATTCTTACTACAGGTTTTCTACTTCATCTTTCAATTAAAATTTTCCCTCTACTAATTCAGTCATCTTTTGCATTACTCATTTGGAGACTAAGTTCACAATTATTATAGCATCCTTGTGAATTTTCTCTTTATTATTACTTGATAGCTTTTTTGTCCTTTTAATGTTTTTACATTAAAATACGTATTAATAGAGCTTTCCAAGTTTTCTTTAGTTTAGCTACAAATGATAGAAGACTTGACTACTGTTTCTCAAATTGGGGGAGGTATTTTTTCTCAAATAACAAGGTCAGAGAGAGATGTGGGTCCCTCTGTTCAGAAAGTCAGGCTCTTTGTATGTCCCTGTGTATCATTCACAGTATGGCGCCTTTCATCCTCTTTCTGGCTTTCTCCGTATGAGGTATTGTTGGATGGCAGTGCGGGCGGGGGAGTGGATGGGGGGGGGCAGTGTCGTGGGACCAGCAGAGGGCAACCTTTACTGTCAGTGTCCCTGTGGAATAATACCTGTTTTAGCATCTAGAGAATCTTTGTCCCATGATGGTAAACTGTTGTTGTCACACGTTTTGTGAACATTCTTTCACTTAGAATCTTCTATTTCTGCAGTCAAATGTGACCATTTCCGTTCCCAAGTGAAGTCACCAGGAAGAAAGTGCTTATGCAGTCCTTTCCTTAGAGCCAGAAGCAGTTAAATGCTCAAGGCTCAGGAAACCAAATGTCATCATCGACTAACAAGGTACACTTGGATTTCAAAGCATTAGTACAAAATAATATGGTCAGGTTTTAGTGAATGTTTGTATTTAGGAATAATGTATTCTCTCAAGAGGTGATACCATTCTTTCCTATAGTTTTTCAGAAGACTGATTTCAGCATTTTCTATGAAACTCAGCATCACTGTGTGTCATTCGTTGGGGTGTTGGCAGGACCATTGGGTAGCTCGTCTTACCTAGAAACTAGGATCCCAAACTTCCCTTTCCCTTTGCCCTTCCTCTGAAACTTCCACTGCATCTGAGTGCACCTGTCACGTTGCCCCGGACTATTCTACGGAACATGAACAGTCCATGGAGTTTGCATTTATAGGCTTCTGGACCTATAAAGGAAGTTGGTCTATTTCTATTTTTTCCTTAAAATGATTATTTAGATGGTTCTAGTACCTTCTAGGAGTCTAGTAGAATATATCAATACACTTAATATTTGATTTGCGCTAAAAATTAACAGAGCATTTACTTACCGTATTTCATTCAGCCCTCCTTAGCACCAAGAAGTAAAGAATATCTGTCTCCACTATGGAGCTCTCAAGCTGCAAAGAACACAAAAACAAAAACAATTGTTACATTCAAAATAGGAGAAGGTTTCTTTTTAAAAACATTAGAACCAGTGTTATTTTTGAATTAGTGGTTAAAGGGCATGGGCAGAGTCTGGTGCTAGATAAATATGTATTGAGTGACTACACTTTTATCTGGGCATTTTCTTGTAGGTACTAAGACTGCTTAATCCACTTGTGAATGCCCTCTTATCATTAATCTTTGTCCAACACAGTATTAAATAGAAACCAGGTGTCTTTTCATTGAAGGACAGGGGAAGCACTGTGAACATGATTTTCTGTTTATAGACTTTTTTCTATGTGTAACTTCTTTTCACATTTGACTGACGTTCTTGCGGTGGTGGAGACCCCCTTTTTCCCTCATCCTGATTAAAAAGAGCTTATATCTTTCAGACTAGTTAGCCTTTACAACTTGACATTTAAAAAATCATTTTTCTTTATTCTCCCCACAATAATTATCCCAATTTTCATAGTTCTCCTCGCAGATTTTCAACTTTTCAGGTTATCTCCATGTTCCTCTGAGATGTACAACTCCCTCTGAAACTTGAGATCCATTACTATTGTAATTATGTGATCACTTCTGATGACAAATTTGAATTAAGTCGAATTGAGATTTTGTTGTGTTTTTAACGTGTTGTAAAATCATCTTTCAGCCATGGAAACAAAGAAGTGTTTTCCTGCCGGGGAATAAAATTGGCAGTGGATTGGTTTTTGGAAAGAGGCCACAAAGATGTTACAGTTTTTGTTCCTGCCTGGAGAAAAGAGCAGTCCCGACCCGATGCTCTCATCACAGGTAAGCTCCGTGAGCTGTTCGTTCGTAGCTTCCGTGCACACCTGGGCAGGTTATCTAGCACCATCAGATGTTGCTGACGAAGATGTCCATCTGTTTCTGTTTACTCAATCTGTGTGACTGCCACTTTCTCTTGGGTGAGACCTCAGCGTTGTCAGTGAGTTTACATACTCCCAGATTATGTTAAGGAAACCGTAATCCTTCCTCCATAAACCAACTGTTTGGGGTCTTTTTTTTTTTTTAACTTGGAAGCTTTTTACTTCAAATTTCGTAAAATTTTTGACTTTGAGACATGGTAAGAGTCAGGATACCTAGATTAAAATTCTGGCTTTGCCACTTACTGGCCGTTGGACTTGCTCAGGGCACGTATGATGACTGGGGAAAGATAAATTGAAAAAGAAAAAGCATTTAAAGCTGTAAATATCGGAAAGCTTGAGCAGGAAAGGAACATGAGCCCGGGAAGAAGGGAAAATGGCCATGGGCGGGGCGGGGAGGGGGGGAGGTGACTGCGTTTAATTTTTAAAATACCAGCATGCCAGGTGTCTGGAATGCTTCAGACTGCATGGACTCTGTAAAATGCGTACAGCTCCACTTGACACTTGAATAACACAAGTTTGAACTGCCTGGGTCCACTTAGAAGTGGACTTTTTTATAATACAGTACTGTAAATGTAATTTCTTTTAGGATTTTCTTCATAACATTTTCTTCTCCCTGGCTGGCTTTAAGAATACAGTATACACTACCCATAATGGAGAAGACATGTGTTGATGGTCACACAGTGGGCTTCCCCCCAGTAGTCAAGAGTGAGGGGGTCAGCACCCTCATCCCTGCTTAGAGGTCCATAGGTATTACCCCCAGCCCCCACCCCAGGGAAAAATTCTAGATAAAACCTGGTAAATTGAATGAATAGTCTGTTATTTTTCCACTGTACTGAAAAAGGTACTTGACAAATATTTTCTGGCTCTCACATAGAGATTTAGACTAGTGCTTTATCCAGCAAGTTAACGCCTATTTTACAAGCGCTAAACTCTGTATCAGGTGCTGCGCAAGGAATGAGAGATTCAGTTCAGCTTACTAGTCATATCTGTTTAAGTTAGGATTATTTATCCTAATTGGTGTCCTCTTTAACCTCACTAGGTATTATAGAAAAAGCAAATTAAGCATGATGATGTTGACCATTAGGCCACCACACTTATTTCTCTAATCACTTCATTGCATAGCATGTATGAGGAAACACTCACACAAATAAAGTAGCATGGCTTATTCATGAACAGTGAATAAACTGGAAGACCTCCGAATACTCATCTTTAAGTATTCCATGTACTCATTCTACAGACACTTGCTGAGTATCTCCTGCTGTGCTTCCTGGGCTGAGTGCTAATGGAAATAAAGAGCAACATTTTGAGGGCAGGGACCGTGTCTCATTTATCAGGGCAACACACAAAAATAATTATAATATGGCAAAGCCTGTAGTTGAGACTGAGCTTTTGAGTTTGTATTGGTTTTCTGTGATTAAGAGGTCAGTAATTTTATCTATTAAAATCCATCTCAACAGTGTTGAGAGTTTGCTTGGCTCTATGCTAAGTGCTTGTACATGTGGGCAACTCACTTCTAGCCACCTGACTGCCTTGAGGCTCGATAAAATATGGCTGTTTTATATAGAAGATGCCAGAACTTGAGATTTACCTGTGATTTGCTGCTTCTAACACTCACATTTCTTCCACTTCTACTCTGCTGCTGCTCTAAACCAATGTTCTGGTCTTAACGAAATCGTGTCAGGAGCATCATGAAATCTATGTGCCAGTTAGAGCCCGCCGACCCCTAATCCTTCACGTGTTCCCTCCCTAGTACTCTGCTCAATACTTCTGTTGTGGCGATCACAACCCTTGCTTACCTGATTTGCAGATTTCCTTTGTGAGGAGAGGTCATTCTTAATCTCAGTGTCGATGGATGCTTGACATACCACAGCACAGGCAGGCCATATCTGGTCACCAGAGAGAGTTTTTTTAAAGCTTAGCAATTCCAGTTCAACATGAAAAAGTAGCCTTTTTTAATTTTAATTATGGCATCATGACTCCGGGCCAGAATGTACAACGGTAGGAAGATAGGAGGTGGAAGAGGCACAGCAGGAAGAAGGGATGATGAGAGATTTTTTACCATTCATGAAAATATGAACTCCAGCACCTTTTTTTTTTTTATAAAGCCCACTAAACAAGTCAGAGTTACCAAGTGCTATAAGAATATGCCAACAGAAGCCAAAAGAGCATTCCTGTGCCTACCTTTATTCTGTCTGTGGCAGCTTTCCCCTCTAATCATTTCTCACCTCTTTTCTTCTCGCAGTCCAGCCCATGAGGATGCTTGCATTTCTGCCACACGTTTCACGGCCAAGGACACAAAACACACACTGATCACATCTGTAACAACAGTTCTGACTTCCCTGCCTCCTATGTGAAGCTTGCACATCATAAGACTCTTCCCCTTGCTACCTCAACTACTTCTGGTGCTCCTCGGACTCTCCCCCATCACATCCACTAGGCAAAAAACAGAACTACAAAATAAACGGGGTTGGCAGGGAGGACACACCTGAGCCCAGCACCACTGCTCTGTCCGAATGGTGGTGCGCTGGGCATATGGCTGTGTGTGTGCCGTCCTGCAGGGCTCCAGCTCTCCAGCAAAACCTTACGGAATGAAAAACATAACTGAGCAAATGGCGTTTTATTCTGTTAAAGTTTTAAATCAGCTTTTAATTACTTTGGGGGCTGTTTATATAGGCTTTATTATTGCAATCCTCAAGGAAAAATACTGGGAATTAAAAATGTGTTCTATCTACAAACTGTAAATCATAATCCCTAATTAAATGGTTGCATAAATCCAGTTCCTATTATAAAAGCTCACGTTGTATGAAAGTTACTTTGTGTATCCTGTTGTACTTACTGCTGAAATTCTACCCCGATCGTCCTTGCAGATCAAGAAATTCTGCGTAAATTAGAGAAGGAGAAAATCCTAGTGTTCACGCCATCACGACGAGTGCAGGGGAGGCGGGTGGTGTGCTACGACGACAGGTTCATCGTGAAGCTGGCTTTTGAGTCAGATGGGATCATTGTGTCCAATGACAACTACAGGGATCTGGCCAATGAGAAACCAGAGTGGAAGAAGTTCATAGATGAGCGACTGCTAATGTACTCATTTGTCAATGACAAGTAAGTGAAACCATGAAACCATATACTTACCAGTGATACTGCTTCCCTGCCAACGTGGCCATCCCTGGCAGCTGCCACAGGAGCCCTGTCTCCACCTGCCACTGACCAGACCTAAGACACATTTCTTCCCACAACTGATATCTCCTCTGATCCTCAGTGGGAGTCAGGAAAAGTGTGGAGCGATGCCTCAGGAAGCCACATGTGAGTGCCAGGCCCCTGCAGCAGAAGGCAGTAACAGGGCAAGTTTGTCAGAACAGACCGGGACATTCCCCATCTTCACAGGACACAGATTTGAACCTGCTGACCCTCAAAACATGGCCTTTCAAAATCTGCTTAGAGCCTTGATCACTTAAGTATATATTTTAAATACAGGATTTTTTTAATGTTATACCAATGGTAAGACTCTATTCATGACGAAATTGATAAATGGACGGATAACGATAAAAAGCAGGTCTCCTGAGAAATAAATAAAGCCCACAGATAGGTGGGAAAGTTCACCTGTTGACAAAAATGCAAACTAAATGTACAGAGAACATATTTTTTCACCCATTTATTTCACAAAAATATTTTTGCCTGTGCCTTGTTCTGTTAAAGATGTAGTTTAATACATCTTTGTGAAATAGTTTGGCTTGGGTTAGCAGAAGCCTTGGAAATATGTAGACCCTCTCAGGCCCATCTCCTTTCTTCGGATATATATCCTGAGGAAAAAAGACCAGATATGTTCATTTCCGTAATACTTATTATTGCAAGAATTAGAGGCAGCTATAGGTACCATAGAGAAACCAGTTAAGCCGCTCTGCATCTAGTGGAATATTCATCAGCTCTTCAGCATTATTAATACGAAAGCTATTGAGGAACATGGAAATTTATTTGTTAAAAAGACAAAGCACAAAATCATATCTGTGTGAAATGCTTATGCATACAGAAATAACTAAAATGCAACACATACACGAAATAATTGTAGTTAAGATTATAGGATTGAGTGCCTCTTGTTTTTAATGTTGCCGCATTGTTCTGATATTAAACAGCATATTTGCTAAGTGTTCTTAGCCACCTGACACTCCCTTAGGGGTTCATACAACATCGTTCACATTTCCTGGGTAACTGCATGGCCCGTTTCAAGTTCCAACAGTGACATAACAAGTAATAGAGCTCTTCAGTTATAACTTCTGTTATGCTACATGCCATGAATTCCTGTGTTCATGAGATTTTTTCCATCTCTCTGCTGAGGAGCAAAGAGAATGGGGCTGTGGGGTTCGACTTAGAATCTCAACTGTGCCCTGTGAACTTAGATCAAAGTCACTTAATTAGGAAAGCGTATTAATCTACAAAAACTAATACTTCAAAGGCCCACTGTCAGGAAGAAAGGAGAGAGGCTACGCAGGGCCTCAGCCCGGAACGGGATGTGGCTGGTGTCCACGTTCCTGTCACTGCTCCTCACTCACCCTTACTGCTGGACGTGGTCGAGGCTCACCAAACCCTCTTAACACAGAATCGTATGGTTTTCTGAAGTTCTTACAAAATCCCAAGACTGACAGGAAGAAAGAATTAATGAGAACATACAAGGCTCAAAACTTACTTGAGTTAAAACCAGTACAGGTTCGGCTTGACACAGTTTACTTGTGTCCGTTAAGAAAATTCTGCGTACTGTTATTTTTTACCCCATAAACGCTGAACCAGAATATTTGTTAAAAATGTTTTAAAGACCTTAGAGTGAATCAAGTTCTCCCTTCTGTCTTCAGAATTAAATTATCAAGCTCCTACTTAGATATATTTTGTATTATATCCATGACAGGTTCATGCCCCCTGACGACCCTCTCGGCAGACATGGCCCAAGCCTGGATAATTTTCTGAGGAAGAAACCTATTGTTCCTGAACACAAAAAGCAGCCTTGTCCATACGGTAACTTTCCTTATAAGTATTTAATATTTGCCTTTAGAACACAGTACGTTGTTAAACTTTTGTTGATAAAAATAAACATTTTAAATTTTGGATGGCATAGTAGGTGGTTCTTTTGATTGTAATGAGATTTAAGAAAACAACCATGGGCAGGGTGGGGCGGTGGGGGTGGGAGTGAGGGGGGAGGTGAATTATTTTTACCTAATCGTGTTCGATGCAAATGCACTTCCCAGAGTTAAAACGTGGTTAGCTCCAAAAACTGAGCTAATTCTTTGTGAAGTTAGTTGTCAAGCAGGTAAAAACACCTGGAGTCCTTCCAACTAGAAACAAGTCAGGTTGGCATGAGTTTACTGCATTCCAACAGCTCGTTTTGCTCTTTAGGACAGAATGTCCTACCCGGTTATGAAGCCATGAGGGAAGAGCATGGCAGGAAGGAGTTGAGGACATGGGGTGCCCACCCAGACCTCAGAAGGGGACTCAATCACTCGGCCTATGTGTTCGCTGCTCCCGGGAGCCCGGCAGTGGGGCGGCTGAGAGGGGCTCGTCTCCAGAGCGAGGGTCGTACCCCTGCCTCTGCCCTGGCCTCGCCCACAGGTTGAAATAGTCATGCCAACCCAAGCTGCCGGGGTCTGGTAGTGTGCTCCTTTGCCTAACTGATCTCCCTCTCCGTAGGAAAGAAGTGTACGTACGGACACAAGTGCAAATACTACCATCCCGAGAGGGGCAGCCAGCCACAGAGGTCAGTGGCCGACGAGCTTCGGGCCATGTCTCGAAACACAGCGGCCAAGACCTCCAACGAAGGCGGGCTGGTCAAAAGCAACAGCGTTCCCTGCAGCACGAAAGCAGACAGCACTTCAGATGTCAAGCGGGGTGCTCCCAAGAGGCAGTCAGATCCAAGCATACGGACCCAAGTCTACCAGGACCTCGAAGAAAAGCTTCCCACCAAAAACAAACTGGAAACCAGGTCTGTCCCCTCATTGGTGAGCATCCCGGCGACTTCCACTGCAAAACCCCAAAGCACTACATCTCTAAGCAACGGCCTTCCATCTGGAGTTCATTTCCCAGCTCAGGATCAAAGACCACAGGGACAGTACCCTCCAATGATGATGGCAACCAAAAATCACGGAACGCCAATGCCTTACGAACAGTACCCCAAATGTGACTCGCCCGTCGACATCGGGTATTACTCCATGTTGAACGCCTACTCGAATCTGAGCATCTCAGGCCCGCGCAGCCCCGAGAGGCGCTTCTCCCTGGACACGGACTACCGCGTCAGCTCCGTGGCCTCCGACTGCAGCAGCGAGGGCAGCATGAGCTGCGGGAGCAGCGACTCCTACGTGGGCTACAACGACCGCTCGTACGTGAGCTCGCCCGACCCACAGCTGGAAGAGAGCCTGAAATGTCAGCACGTGCACCCGCACAGCCGCCTTAATTCCCAGCCCTTCCTGCAGAACTTCCACGACCCCCTAGCTAGAGTGCAAAGCTACAGTCACGAAGAACCAAAGTACCACCCCAAGCCGCCCCTCGCGCACCTGGCCGTGCACCTGCCGCACCCGGCGGCGGGCGCCCGCTCCAGCTGCCCCGGCGACTACCCGTCCCCGCCGGGCGCCACGCACCCCAAGGCACCGCGCCTCGGCCGCTCGCTGCTGGCCACCCGGCTGGACAGCGTGTCGGACTCGCGGCTGTACGACGGCTCCCCGTCCCGGCCCAGGAAGCCCTACTCGGGCCCCGACGGCCCAGGCGGCTGGGAGAGGCCGGCGTTCGCGCCCGAGGCGGCCTACGGCTACCGGCACACCTACTCGCTGCCGGACAGCTCCACGCAGCCGGGCTACGAGCCGTTCGCCTTCCAGAGCCTGCCCGAGCGCCCGGAGCCCGCGTGGCGCGGCCCGTACTGCGCGCCGCCACCCGAGCCGCCCCGGTACCAGGACGACCGCGAGAAGGTCTACGTGAACCTGTGCAACATCTTCCCGGCCGACCTGGTGCGGACGGTCATGAAGAGGAACCCGCACGTGACGGACGCCCAGCAGCTGGCCGCCGCCATCCTCGTGGAGAAGTCCCAGCTGGGCTACTGACGGACGATGCATCTTCGTGGTGTGGAGTCGTTCTTTCGTTCAGCTCAAATGCTGAGGGAGGTTTGCTACAATAGCACATGTCATCTCCTTCGCGGCAAGGAGGTTAAATAGTATCCATTTATGTGAAATACTGTATCATGGAACCTGTACGTAGAGCCCCACAGCGTGGAAGTATCACGGGATTGCTTTACCTTCAAACTTTTTTTTAAACATTTCCTTTTTAAAAGCTCTCTCCTTGGCTGGAAATTTTTCCAGTTTGATTTATTAGATGTCTCTGTGATCTTTGATATTAATCTTTGGTGCATCAGGGGTTTATATGCAGCACTTTTTATCCTTGTTTCGTGTTTTATTACCTTGGTGTTTGTCTATCAATTGCGAGCAATTACAATACTTTCAGAATGTCGAACATTTGACTAGACCCTAGCCGACTATTTTTTCAAGCCAAGCTTAATTGGAATCTTTTACAGCTTTTTAAGTTATTTTTATTTGGGGAAAGTGGGCTTCTTTGTGCTATAATCATTATTTATAGAAACAAAGATATACTACAGCACTGACTTTATATTTTAAACAAAATGTAAGTTACCAGTTTATACGGAAATGGGTAACAGTCTATATTAGAATGATTTACAATATGGCACTTTTCATTGTTTTATTTTTGTTGGGATTTTTTTTTTCCTGTTAGGTAATTTAGTTAATTTAATATGGTTGATTTAAAGGAAAGCAGATGCAATCAATGGAAAAAAATTGTTTCCATTTTTTTTTCCTTAACGAATAAGGCAAAAGCCGTAACTGTTCCAGTTTAGAGCTTTGTTATCCAGCTATGATGTGCTTCTAGACGGTAGAAATGGAATTGAATTCCTAGATTCTCGTTAACCTGTATTTTTAACGTGTTTGTCTTTTTTGTTTCGGGGCACAACAATACTGGATAAAAGAACCCTTTCACAGTCCTTGCCTGTTTTTAATGAATCTAATTATTCTCAATGCAACTTTTATATTTAATATACTCTTTAGCTTTCCTGCTATTTATCAAGGCTGGCCTGAGGTGGGTTTATGTGTTGAGGATATGCAAAAGTTATTGATACTGCACTATAGGAATGGTGGTGGAGGCGTTGTCAGTGGTAACTTAAAATGTTTGTAAGATACTGTATATTTTCCATTTTCCTGAAGGTAGTTTTTGAGGGGCCTGTTATATTATTAAGGCCAGATTCTTGCCACAAATAGTGTAGTTTTAGCTACAGACTAAAGTCTGTTCTAGTATTAGTAAGGGATATTTCTGGTTTCAAAGTCATGGGTTTTGCTAGATGCGAATTCATTTTTGTCCTCAGAAGACAGACCTTGCATTGAGTGGCAGACAGTCGTGTGTGCTTCACATGACCTTCACAGTTGCCTCCAGGCTTTGAATTTTCCTTCACGTGACAGACATCCTGATCTGTCTCTGTCGTCTGCCCCGATGCCCTGGGTGTTCTGACCATTCTAACATGCTACAGTTTGAAGTAAAGCCCTGAAAAGCCAGAAAGTACCTTTTACTGTTGATACAAATTGTATCTTTTTAACTATAAGAACTATTTTGATTTGTAGATCTAGTGAAAACACAAATGTGTAACTATGATTAGACTTTTGGGCAACATTTTATCCCTTATTTAAATACAAAATTTTAAAGTGAAATTGAGGTCTAGGATAGGGTAGAAAAATAAAAGTAACGATTTAGGTAAATAAAATTGTCTGTCTTAGTTTTATAGAATATATTAAAATATATTAAATACATTTATTGGCATTTTCTTTCTCCTAAAACTTACCTAGTGAGAACTTAAAAATAAAGGTAAAATGCTGCCTGAAAATAATGTCCAAGCACCTTTGACTAGGATAACATTTTCACTACTTGTGTGACACTGTGTGTTGCATGAAGTAGGATTTGGGTATACAGTAAATGCTTCTAAAAGGCATTGTGCATATTGACATATCCAATAATCTGAACCGTGTTCAGCAAACTTAATTCAGGAAAGTGGTGTTCTACACAATTATTGCTGTTGTTTTTGAGGTGAGTGTGGCCCTTATCTGTACCCAGAAACAATACAGATGGTGACACAAACCATCCCGAGTGGTGTCCGGGTGTGACCCTACTCGCTTGTGAATCTGTTCTCCTTGATTTCGTCGGTCACTATCTGTAGAACAAGTTTAAGTGTAGAAGCTAAGTGAGTGCCAAAAAAAAAGGGGGGGGGTTACAGATGTGGAGTACCTTTTATTTTAGTCATGTTTTAAGCCTTTTTTTTAAAGTATGAAATCCTTTTTAAATTGTAGATTTCGCTCGCATTTTCTTAATGTTAGCATTTTCACTATCTGAAGAGTCTGCCAAACATTACTAAACTTATTTAAATGAGATCTTCAGCGAAATGTGTATCAGACTTTTAGTTTGATGTTCTCGTGTTTTTAGCAAACTTGTCTGTTACTGCTTCATGGATTTTAGACCATGGAACATAGTGTAGCTTGCCACTACCTGTCCTGAAGTGAATAGCTCTGAATTACTCACACTGAAATCCTTCAGTATAATGAATTGTGAGTTAAGAAATAGCAGTTTTTTTATGTCAAGAGGACAGTTTGTCCCCCTCTCTTTTCTTTTTTTTTTTTTTTTTTTTTAAGCACCCATGTTGCTTTCAGAGCTTAAGAATGAGATATTTGGCAGGCTTTAGACACAGCAAATTCTTCATTCTCTAAAGCAATAAGTAAAAGGATCCACCATTCAATTAAATCCATAGCTGATCCCAAACCTTCATTGTAGCCAAAACTTTCACCTTAATCCTGTCTTTTACCAGATTCACTCACAGATAACTGGAGAGGGAGGTGTTAGTAGAGAAACTGCCCAGAGTGGTCAACCAATAGGAGAGAAAAAACTCAGATTGGATTATTCTGCCCCTGAATAGTTGACAGTTGATTGTCCTTTCCCCAGCAAGGAGCCGGTGCACTGTCTCTGTGTCTTACTACAGAGGGAGTAGCAGCCAGCTGGCCAGATCCTGGCCCTCACGGTTCCCTCCCTGCACGTACGTTTCCCATCTGTTGATATCTCTGTATCCTGATAGAGTTTGTCATTGACCTCAACATTTGAAAGAAATGCACACCAGTATAAAATGTGTGATACTGGTAGAAACTTGAACTTTGTGCTTTTATGAAGTTTCCTTGATGAGAATATGTAATATAACTTTAAAAAAAGCATTTTATATGTATATATACATACATACATGCCTACGTATTTGTCATGAAGTATTAAAAACAGGAGAGGGTGTTACGCTTTTGGTGGCTGAACTTCCCTTCATTGAACTATGTTTGAGTTGTGGATGACCAAGACTGGAGTCTGGATGACCAACGATAAGATTTTAGAACCACCTGAATGGAAAGCAACTCTTCGATGGTTTTATTCCTGGTTTTAAAGAGTTATTTTGATAATTTTAATAGAATGTGTCATTTTAAAACACACAAAAAAAAGTAGTATTGATTATACAGATAATTATTTAACATGTCTTTTACGGATGTATCTATGTATATGGACAGTAATATATTTATAAACAAATATACTTTGATTATGTTGTAGCTATTAGTTTGTGATAGGTTAGCTATGGCTCTGGATACCTGTGTGTGTGTGTTTTGAAAACTCTCGAGCTGTCCCCCCCGCCCCTCCCCCAATTTACGGGCACTGACCCGAAGGTATATTTGTTTTCATTCTCATTTTTGCTCTCCGACTTACTTCCTCAAGATGAGCTTCCTAGGTATACACCCACGGATAAAACGAAGTGTAAAACCCATGAACTACACACGTGCATTAGCGTAAGAAAAAGCAGAGCTCGTAGTAGAGAACATGCGATATTTCAGATTGGCCTGCGAGACTCCTAGGGCAGTGGCTGACAGACCTGTTCTGTGAAGGGTCAGGCATAACCAGTCCGAGTTTTGAGAAGCATCTGGTCTCTGTCACCTGCTCACCTCTGCACGTAGCACCAGAGCAGCCACAGACAAGAGGCTGAGTGAGCCATGTGCAAAGGCCTCTACTCACAGGAACAGGCAGCGGGCCAGCGGGGCTGGTGGTTGGAGTCCTCGCAGCCCTGTCCCAGGGGGGGAAAACCCAGGATTATTAAGCCCTAAGCCCTGGTACGAATGTGTTCGTAGAAGAACTAAGAACTGTAGTTCGGTTGACATTCAAAGACCGTGTTATTTATTGACCACCTTCAAAAGAGGATTGCGAGACGGTCCTACTAAAGCATCCTCATTTACTTGTTTATTCTATCCTGTCCATCACTTACTAGAGATATTTCTTAATGTTAAACCGCACACACGAAAAAAAAGCATTCTGTCAACAGATGTTTTAATAAGTATTGAAATTTTTTCATGAACTTTGTATTTCTATTGATAAGATGGGAATACCTTACCTACATTTAGTTTTTTAAGGGCCTCATGGACCAAAAATTCTGTTGTATCTTGAAAATTAGCATGTAATTAGCCACAAAATATTTTAAAGACTGCATCTGTCAGTTACATCTTTCTGGTTTTTTGACTTAAAAAAAAAAAGACAGATGTGCCCTTCTTTAAAAATGGTTTTAAAGAAGATAAATATATTGTAATTTCACATATTATAGCTTTATTCTGTAAGATTAAAAATTGTGACTAGTATAATTGTAGCTATAACGTGCATTTGCTGTATTTGTGATTCTTTATAAGAAACCAAGCGTATCCCGGCTTTCTCTGTCCAGACCTTTAGTATAGATCTTTTTAGATGCCTTAGGACGATCCTTGATGAATGATATTCTTAACATGATCATGTGTGATTTTAAATTCATTGGAACTACACACTGCTGAGCGTGTTCATTCACAGTGCTTTATAAATTGTGTTAACATTATTTCCACAAGAACATTAAATAGTTTTGAACATCACCATACACTTTAGATATCCTTTCTTTTACAAATGGAATACAGCTCTAGCTTTTAATAGTGTTTACTGTTTAAAAGGGTTTTGGTTTCCCCCGCCCCCCTAATGCCATCTGTTAAGCTGCTTTTTACTTTGTTACAGTAACACCGAGATGTGTTAGGAGTAGCTTTTTCCCTATGGTCCCTAGTCTTAAGATTAAAAAACAATTTAAAGTTTTGACCATTTGGCAATTAAACAATTTTTGAACAGTCTGTGCATCTTTTAATTTAGTTTGATAAAATTTGTAAAACTTCACTTTTAAACCATGTACCAAATCTGCCAGTTGTGTGTATGAGATGAAATTTTTCAGATGAAAAATTGTTGTCCATTAAAGCATTTGACCTCTCTCTTACTTAAAGCAGCTTATGTCTCAAGGGGAAAACAACAACAACAACAAAAAAAACCTTGAAAAGCAGTGGCTTGTTTTTATACAGTGTATATTTTAGATTTTCTTGGGTTTTTTTGAAATTATGCATTTCTAGCTAATACAAAATACCCACAAACACACAGATCTCCTCAGAGACCTAAACCAAGCCTGCAAGTGAACCAGATCACTGATCTCCTCTTTTCCCATGAGGTGGTTGTCCCCTTCACCCCCAAACCATAGTCCTGTGCTGATAGAATCTCCAATTTGGCCCCTCAAACTTCTCTTATAGGAAAATAAGGTAAAGAACGTTTAGAACAACCATCTGGCATACTGATGTGATTCTCTTTATCCTCTGTCTGTTCTGTGTGTTTCTGTGATGGAATTTTTATGACTCCAAAAAGCAGTACTTTAGACTTACTGGAAATCCATATCGAAACAGTGATGTGATTCCACCACTAAGAAAAAAAAATTAAAAACTTTTTTTTTTTATGGTGGTTTGTTTTTGTTTTGTGAGGAAATGGACCTCCTGCAGCAGCACAGATGCTAAGTAATCGAGGGCCCCTTCCTCCAGGCCCGGGGCTCGCCTGCCTTCAGTGGTTCAGAACAGGAGTCTTCACGGATGCACACGTGTTCCTTACCAGTGTGTTGGAGCCAAATGAATTCATATGAAAATTGGAATTAAGGGCCAAAGACAACTAGTCATTCCTTACCAATTTCCCACCAGTGATTAACCTAAGCCCCTGAAGTCTTTCTGTGTCATCTGGTGGCCCAATGAGGTCCCCATTGTACGGGTCTCATTTCCTGCACCCCTCTTAGCATGAATCAAGCCTACAATCCTACTAATGCCTCATCTAAGTAGGTTCGCTTCCCTTATTTTATACCCAACTGGGAATTGAAAATACTCTTACTTCATACGTAGTCACAAATCCAAAATGGGCTACTGATCTTCATGATGTAGCAAATTCATGTTCTGTGTCCATGTCTAAGAAACTTTTATCTCCAGATCAGAGAGGAGTTTTTTTCCTTCATTGTTTTTCAGTTTTTCATTTTGCTTCTTTGGTTTTGTTTTACTAAAATCACCATCTGTCAGGTGTTTCCTTCCTCCACCCCCCCCCCCCCACCTTAAGCTCTTGGCCTAGGATCTGGATTTAGGTAATTTATCTCCCCTCCGTCAGTAGATTTAACTACGCCCTTCAGCTGCAGTTGGCAGAGAACGCAGCACATTCCAACTCCATAGTCTATAGGCAGGAGAGGTGGGACTGAGCATCCAAGGAAGCTACCCTGTGGACTAGTGCTAGTAGCTTAGTCCTTCCCCACCTCGCTCCTTTGTCTACAGAAAAAGGATTCATACAACCTGATGAGTTAGGTAATGCTGGGGAAAAGGAGATGGAAACAGCAGCAAAATCCCTATCCCTGGGTCTCTTATTAGCAGGACATATGTACTTAACCAGCATTTGTACCTCAGCCTCAGATACTGGTTTAAAGATTTATTCTTAGAGAGAGCAAGCACACGCACACATGCAAGCAGGGGAGGGGCAGAGGGAGACAGGGAGAGAGAATACTAAGCAGGCCCCACACGCAGCAGGGAGCCCAGTGTGGTACTCAATCCCACGACCCTGAGTTCATGACCTGAGCCAAAAATCAAGAGTCCAGTGCTCAACCAACTGAGCCACCCGGGTGCTGCTCGGCTCTAAGAGCTTTAAAGCAACCTTTGAAAAACTGCATTCCTATGTGCAACCCCCCACCAGCACCCCCAGCCCCGTGGCCCCTGGAGACGGAGTCCCACCACCTGCACCCTGTGCAGAGCTGGGCAGCCTCACCCGCTGGCTTGTGAGTGCTGAGCTAGACCCCGTGCACAGGCAGGTCCACGCGTGAGTCCACCTCGTGACTCTGTAAATGCTGGGTGTGTAAACACACGGCCGTTTCCTGATGTTCACCTTCGAGCACTTGGCCCTGCGCAGCTGCGCTGCATACAGCTCTGCTGTGCCAGAGTTCCGACTCCCACAGGGTCCTGGGACGATCCCAGTGGTGGCGTCTACTTCAGGAATGGCACTGTAACCCGTTGAAAGAGTTCTTGGCACCCTATTTCCATGCTACCCCCCACTGCGAGGCCTCCTAAAGACTCTTCTATGGATCCTAATAGGAAAGTAATGGAATAACAAAAATAAGGAGAACACAGAGGGCAAAGCTTCTGGAAGCTCACAGCCCAGTAGGTCAGGGATGGCATTACCGCTCCCCCACCCCAGGTCCCTGAAGATGCCGCCGTCTGCACCCCTGCCCCCTGACCTGAGTGGAAGGGGACGTCAGTCCCTCCCGATGGGAACCCCAGGGCCAATCTGGACAGAGCAGCATGTGCTTCGGTTGGTGGCTCAGCTGGACCAGGCACAGATCTGGGAAAACGTCTCATCAAATTGGGTGATTTTTCCCCCTTTGGTCATTTGCTCCTAGTTTATAACTAACTGCTGCCCTCAAATTTGGAGAGGGTTGGTGGGGAGACCACTCACATTTGAGGGCCCAGCACCACAGTTTGGTTAAACCACAGTCCTTTGCCCCAGACATTGCCACTTCTTAGAAATGAGAAGACTAAGACTCAGAAAGGACAAAGCACTTGCTCGGGGACACCTGGGTGGCTCAGCACTAAGCGTCTGCCTTCGGCCCAGGGTGTGATCCTGGTCTGGGATCGAGTCCCACATCGGGCTCCCTGCAAGGGGCCTGCTTCTCCCTCTGCCTGTGTCTCTGTGTCTCTCATGAATAAATAAATAAAATTTAAAAATAAATAAATAAAGCACTTGCTCAAAGAGAAATTCCTCTTCTTCTCAAATTCCCTTTTCTGTTCACTGTGCTGCAAGACAGCATTGGGGGTGCCCGTGGTCATCCTCCACGCGGTTATTGTGCAAACATTTAGGAGTGACCTCCGTGCCAGGACCTCAGCGAGGGCAGGGGAGGCTAGGAAAAGCGGGACATGAGCTTGTGTCTGCACTTCAGGAGACCCCCTCGCATTCACTGCTCTGCTGTCACAGCCCTAGTCGTCCTGACGAGGGGTCCACTCAGGTTGGAGGGAAAGATCGCCCGAGATCGGCTGTCCTGAGGTTTGTCTGGTGGCACCAGCCCAGGCCACAGACCAACCAGCTGCCCAGGGCTCCCTGCTCAGGGCCTGGGAAGCCAAGGACACACTTCCTCTGGGCCAGGACTGGAGCCTGGACTCCTGGGTCCCTCCTTAGCGCCCCCTCTGGTCCTGGGGAGTAACAGGCAGCATGTCCACTCATGCACAGAGCCTTCCTGGGTGCGCTTGGAGACTCCTACGAGGCCCACTGCAAACACAACAGCTTTCATGCGAAGGAGCTGCCATCTGCAGTTCCCAGGCCATCTATTTGCACAAATTCAGCAGGAGATTAGAGCCAGACAAGCTTAATTAGGTGACCCAGCAGATGCCCTTCTGTTCCCCAGGACAGCTCAATGAGGGACAGAAAGCTTAAAGCGCAGGAAGTACAATACAGAAGTTGTCAGCCTGGCCCAGCCCCCTGCAACCCGGCACCCCCCACGGGCCCGTGACACTGGTCCCAGGCCACAGGCTTTTCCGCCCCTCACCTGGAGCTCTCCTCTCCCCACTCTACTTTCCAAACCTGTACTTACTATTCATTTGAGTAACTTGCAGATGTGCAGGTGGAAGATTCGGGGGGGATGGCCAACCCAATTTGAACCACATGAAAGGCCGTCCAGCCCACTCCGCGGGGACCTAGGGCTTTGTATGTGACCGAATGGCCGAGGCTGGGACAGAGCAGGCTGCACGTCGTGAATACAGCGCGCATCAAAATGCTGTGAATCCCGAATCCGTCAAGGGAGACGCAGAGCAAGTGCATGGTCTGCTAGTCCAAGCTCCGAGTCACGGCCCATGTGGCACCCCGGTGGCGGGCAGCACGGGACCAGCCCGAGCAGGACTGGAGGCCACCAGTGGCCCGGGGGCAGTACAGCGAGGCTCCACCAGCCCCGGGGCCCTTCACATGCTGCCCTCCCACCCTCCCCGCTTCCCAGTCATCCAGAAAGTTCAGGTTCTCAGCTCTGCTCTTCCCCTTCCCCAGCCGGAGGTTGCCTGGTGACACAGGCTCACCAGGTGGCCGTGGTCATGGGGCCGGGGAAAGGGGACAGTCGACGGTGGCAGCCGGCTCTGGAGGATCCTGATACACAGACTTGTGATGCCAGCTCCCAGGCGGGTAGCAGGAAATGCCGCCTGGCCAAGGCGGTGGTGCAGGGAACACCGGGGTCCAGCCAGAAGCTCTGGGGGGCTGCGAAGGTACGTGCGCATCGGGGACGCAGCAGCCAGGCTCTGGAGGTCCTGGCGGCGGCCCGCGGACACGGCCCAGGCTCCCACCCGGGGCCCCTCGGCCGCCTCTGCTAACCTGCAGGGGCAAACAGCACCCCCGTCGGCCCAGGTCGGGGGTCGCCGCCCCCCCGGGAAGCTCAGCCCACACGACCCTGCCGGCCCCGCTGCTGGGCTCACTGTCCCCGAGGAGGCGCGCTCTGCCCGGCGCTGGCTCTTTCTGCTGGTAAAGCGGAGGGTTGCAGCTCGCGGCAACCCCGGCGAAGCTGGGAAAGGAACTGCAGCTTCAGGACGCCTCCCCACCCCCCCACCCCCACCCACCCTTACTCCCACCCCCCACCCCACCCCCCGCTGGCAGCCCCTGCACCGCGACGGCGGCACGAGCGGGCTCCAGCCCCCAGCCTGCCGCCCCGCCAGCCCCGGGCCCCAGATGCCCTGGGGCACAGAAAAAAAAAAGATGCAGTTAAAAAAACCAGTGGAAGAGAAAGGCTGCAGCCCTGGAACTGTGCCGGCGGCGGGAGCTGCGGGGCCCTGCGTGGGCCGGGGCCTGGCGGGCGCCCCGTGCGCTCAGCCCTTCCCCCGCCGGCGCGGGAGCAGGTCAGGGCACCACGGCCGACCTGTCGCCTCCCCGAGGCCCGGGCGTCGAGGCACAGCAGCCGCAGCCAAC